ATGTATTATTGAATAGTAGATTGATAGAGAGTGTGTGGTTAAAAATGAAGGAAAAGTTATTGATGTGATGGAAAATATTATTTTATTGAAGAATGTGTGGTTGAAAATGAGTAGAAGAATGAGAATGATAAAAATAATGTTTACCAAACAGGGCTTTAGAATAAATTAGAAATAAATTATATAAATTTAGTATACTCGGGACTCACAATTTATAAGAACTTAAAAAACTTTACTAAACATGCACTTATACTGTACCAAAATTTGTTGTGACGCTAACAAAGTACAAGTTTCTTATAAGAGTCGATACGAAAAATGGACCCAACCAACAAGGGTTAGATGAGGCCTAAAGTCCCTAATTTCTGAAAGTCCAACCTATTGTCTATTAACTTCAAGCTCTACCCAGATTACAGTTATGAAAGAGGTACAACCTCAATTGAGGTAAAACATTGTCACAAACTTTAAACGTTATTATTGTAGAGAAGGTAACAAGGACATAAAATTAACGACTACGTTAAAAGAATACAAACTTTAATCATACGCAATGTTTGCACTATACACAATTCACTTCTTGAAGTTTTTACTCGTTCATCTAAAGAAATAGATACCAAATCAAGGATTGAGAAGGAAAGATTGACATAAATCAATAGAAGATCGTTAACAAGGCGTACAACTTTAATCATATGAAATCACTAGTCATTCATATTTTTGATGGAGTAGTTGATAATTGAATTCGATATTTATCATTATTTTCATATTCGTGATAGCGCGAAAAGAAGTTTATGCTCCAAGTCGTTTAAGAATAGTATGATCAAGTTTTCTTGATCATTTGACATATGATTAGGCAACTATGTTTATCGATGTGGATATAGAAGGAATAATTCTAAGAGATAGACTCAGAGAGTATCATCTCGATGCGATGGAAGTCATTCGTTCAAACTTGAATATTTCGAAACCCAATGTGAGCCCCCGTTTATTTCCAATTTTCTTGTTCATTTTAATGAAAATTCTAGCCATTACTTGGTCCACATAAGTAACTTTTGATTTCACCATTTCTAGTGGGACCCATGGGTTGGAAAAAAAGGGCCAAAAAAATAATTCTTGAGCACAAATGATGGAAAACAAACAGGGTGTGAGTTTTCTATTTGAATTTCCTCTCATCTATGATTGATGATTCGGTGATAATGGTTAAGGAGTTCGCTGGACAAATATGAAGTGCATGAATAAAACAAGGGACTCTTTGTTAAAAGACCTAGTCAAACAAAGTAATTGGCAAAAAGACTCATTCTCAATGTTTATTGGTCATACGGCCTCAATTAAAAAATACAATAAATAAACTTGAAAAATTGTCTAAAATATCCTCAACAAGTAAAAGACCCATACACCCTTTTCATCCAACCAAATTCACCATTTCACCTCTATCAAAACCAACGTGCTCTTTTACCGATAAAAAAACCAACTTGCTCTTCGTCTCCAATGTTTGTCGCCTCCTAAAATCTTATTATTGATTATATTCCTCACTTACCTCCTCCAACATTTTGAGCATTTGAATAAGAATTTTAGCTTTTATATTATCTACATTGAAATCT